GACCACAATAGTGCCAGGAAAACGCAGTTCTGGATGGAGAGGAAGGGGTTAAACTTACCTCTTTCTCCAGCGCCGGGTGGGGAGCTCTCCTCCTCCTCTCCGCCTTCTCTCCTCCTCTTCGGCTGAATGCGCATGCGCGGCAGGAGCCGCGCGCGCATTGAGCCAGTGCATAGGAAAGCATTCACAATGCTTTCCTATGGACACTGGCGTTTTTACTGTGAAAATCACAGTGAGAAGCGTGGAAGCCCTCTAGCGGCTGTCAATGAAACAGCCACTAGAGGCTGGATTAACCCATTTATAAACATAGCAGTTTCTCTGAAACTGCTATGTTTATAGAAAAAAGGGTTAAACCTAGGTGGACCTGGCACCCAGACCACTTCATTAAGCTGAAGTGGTCTGGGTGCCTATAGTGGTCCTTTAATATCAGTACACCATAGTGAACTAATTGAAATACAATATGTCTGAGGAAGGAATTATTAACATGTTGCATGGCACTAAATGGGTGTCGGGAAATATTTGTGATCACAGTCACCAGACACACCTGTAAAAAGATGTAACACTGAATGTAGGTGTAACACTTTGCATCTGCGTGGGTTAACCAAAATAACCTGCTCTCTGATATCTGACCTATATTCAGACATGCATTTACTGAAATTATTATTATTAGCTAGCTGAATTGCGTTCAACTCTACAGATTTGTTTTTACTCCACAAAAAGAACAGTTCTCTTATGCGTAAATGCCAGAATTTTAAAATATACAAGAGTGAGGTTCAGGGCGTTTAACAGAATGGACAGATGTTTGAGTTTGTGACTTTTGCTAGCTAATTATATCGTTTGGTAACTTATTTAGAACACAAAACAGTTATTTTATTTACAAAACTGACCTCAAAACATGTTTGCTGCAAGTTAATCACAGGTAAGTGTATTATTTTAGCTGAGCACTGTGATGAACACACAGCACCGTGATGGGAGCTCGATGATACACTCATACACTACGTGTTAATGTGAGTTTTATCAATGTGGAGTTTTCTGATACAATCATACAAGCAGCACATTACTGTGGGTTTTATCAATGTGAATCCCTATGGGACATTAATGAACATAGGGTTTTTTTTAAGGGGTGTGCCCAGGGAGACCCGATTGTAGGACCAAAGTGTCTCAACTGACCCCTGTTTTGAATTTAAAAAAAATCATGACTATTTCTATATACGTCTGGCTATTACCAGACCAACAAAAATATTTTTTAATCACATCTTTAAACTGCCATTTTTAGAGTGCTTTTAGAGACGGTTATTTTCTCTGGGTGCACTGCCTCAATCAATGTCCTGTCTCAAACACTAATGAGTGCTTTATGCAGACCTCCCAAATGTCCCAATTCTCTGATACACTCATAGAATGTGTCACTTTCCTATGGTGACATGTAATAACTTTATACACACTGTTACAATTAGATATTGTATGGCTTTGCTCCCAGAGGATTGGCAAAGCTCTGGTAATGGAATACGTACCTTATTTTGTTCTAGAGGTGTAATTACACTCTGGGTTCCTGTCACGATTTGGTTTTCTCTCAGTCTAGTGTAGTACATCACAGTGTCACTACCTGTCTGTGGGAATATTGCAGGCTGCTGCACCCAGACTGAGATATCTCAGCTGGTCTTATTTTACAATTATATTCTCCCTATTTAGTTGTGTCTCACCCCTTCTTGCCAGTTCATTAATGTTAATGTTGTTGGTGGTTAATGTTGTTGGTCTGGTTCTGCCTATCCTGTGCTAGCTGCTTCCCTGTATCCAGAGGCCTTTCCTGCGTTCGCTGTATACAAAGGCCTTTCCTGCGTTCCCTGTATCCATAGGCCTTTCCTGCATTCCCTGTATACAGAGGCCTTTCCTGCGTTCCCTGTATCCAGAGGCCTTTCCTGCGTTCCCTGTATCCAGAGGCCTTTCCTTTATTTATGTGTGTACTGGTTTCTTTGCATTCTGGGTTCCACCCTATAGAGGTTGCTGCACTGGTCAGCACCCCTTCCCGACCAGACCCCTGACAGTTCAAGCACTTTACATCCACATTATACTTAAAGGAACACTATAGTCACCTAAATTACTTTAGCTAAATAAAGCAGTTTTAGTGTATAGATTATTCCCCTGCAATTTCACTGCTCAATTCACTGTCATTTAGGAGTTAAATCACTTTGTTTCTGTTTGTGCAGCCCTAGCCACACCTCCCCTGGCTATGATTGACAGAGCCTGCATGAAAAAAACAAACTGGTTTCACTTTCAAACAGATGTAATTTACCTTAAATAATTGTATCTCAATCTCTAAATTGAACTTTAATCACATACAGGAGGCTCTTGCAGGGTCTAGCAAGCTATTAACATAGCAGGGGATAAGAAAATCTTAATTAAACAGAACTTGCAATAAAGAAAGCCTAAATAGGGCTCTCTTTACAGGAAGTGTTTATGGAAGGCTGTGCAAGTCACATGCAGGGAGGTGTGACTAGGGTTCATAAACAAAGAGATTTAACTCCTAAATGGCAGAAGATTGAGCAGTGAGGCTGCAGGGGCATGTTCTATACACCAAAACTGCTTCATTAAGCTAAAGTTGTTCAGGTGACTATAGTGTCCCTTTAAAGACCTAAATGGAACCCTACCCCGTATTGTAGGAATGTAGTCTCTTGATTTTGCCGTATTGTCTTCATGTTGATGACTTTCCAGCACCCAAAGCCCACTCCCCCTGTTTGTAATGTAATTATAAAGATTCCCTTTCTCATTATATGTAGAAAGTATGTCTATGTGGTAAGCATGGTTCATTCATGTGTGCTGAATTGTTAAAAGGACATGCATCACTTCGAGGCAACTTTCTCATTCAAAAACTTTAGCTATGAACAAGACAGTTGCCTCACTGTGCCGACTGAAAAAACAAACAGGTAAATGTGGTTTTGTTTTTCATATTCACCTGCTTCTTCTTTCTTATGCTTTCCACATCCATTCTGGGGGGAAGGAAGAAGGGGGGGACGGACGAGGGGTTCATTGATCTAACGAATTAGTGTTCTTTCCCTAAGAATGCTGTAAAAGAACATTGGACAGACAGATTTACACATGTACAACTGGAAGATCTCTTCATGTTGACAGGAGCAGAGGAGTGCAATTCATGCAGACCTGACTCAGCTGAGAGGCGTTCCCAACAATGCAATCTGACAAAGTTTATAGTAAGTTTATAAAGATTTCATACTTTTCAAAGTTCTTGCTTTATTTTGATTTATTGATATATTTGTTGAAAAGTGTTTGCTTGCTGATTCAAAATAGCAATTGCCAAGAGTCTCGTGTCCTTTTCACTTCTTCAGAGCAGCTGGACAAACTTAAAGGACCACTATAGTGCCAGGAAAACATACTCGTTTTCCGGGCACTATAGTGCCCTGAGGGTGCCCCCACCCTCAGGGTCCCCCTCCCGCCGGGCTCTGGGGAGAGAAAAGGGGTAAAACTTACCTTTTTTCCAGCGCCGGGTGGGGAGCTCTCCTCCTCTGATCCCCCTCCTCTCCTCCCATTCGGCTGAATGCGCATGCGCGGCAAGAGCTGCGCCTGCATTCAGCCGGTCTCATAGGAAAGTATTCATAATCCTTTCCTATGGACGCTTGCGTGTTCTCACTGTGATTTTCACAGTGAGAATCACGCAAGCGCCTCTAGCGGCTGTCAATGAGACAGCCACTAGAGGATTTGGAGGATGGATAAACCCAATTATAAACATAGCAGTTTCTCTGAAACTGCTATATTTATAAAAAAAAATGGGTTAACCCTAGCTGGACCTGCCACCCAGACCACTTCATTAAGCTGAAGTGGTCTGGGTGCGTAGAGTGGTCCTTTAACCTTTTTGGAGCCTTCAACCTGACACAGCCTTCTGTTGAGAAATATTAAAGTAAATCATCTACATTTGGTTAACGCCATTTTAGAGAGTTGCTATGTGTAAGAACTGTGGTTGCCTGGAGAGGTTGCAGTTCAATCAAAATTGTAACATGGCAAAAAGGTATCAAACTAGGAAACTGCTTTATCTATTGTTACTGTACTTTATTTATAGGCCATTGGAGCGTTTTTAGCTGAGAACTATATTAAAATCATGAACCAACCAACTTTTCTTTTGCTGTGTAGAAAGTACAGTCACTTTGGATGAATGAGTTTCTTTTTAATAACTACAATCTCTAGTGATCCCTGCTTCTGTCTCCCACGGTCTGGATGGAATTTCGAGAAGCTTTTAAGCCTTTATTAAAATAAGTCTGTATTTCTTTTCTCTTTGTCGGCTACTAGGTAACATGTACACAAGATTTCTGGATGTGAGCCAGGATACAACTAACTGTGACATGCTGCAATTACCAGGACAAACTGCTATTCAAACTTCTCATTTAATACTCTGCACAATCTCTAAACATTTCAATAGAACAATGCACCGGCTATGAAGAAAACATGCCCACCACACCGAGTTTAATATTATTTAGTACTGATTTCTATTGTTACCATTTTTATCTCATGTATCAGTGATGGAACGTTCTTAAAAAAACAACAACAATAATATCTTACCAGAAGGTAAAACCTACTTATCAATTTTCCTTTTAGAATGATGTGAGAAGTTATCAATTCAGCTCTGCTACTGGGAAATGATATCATAACTGGAAGTACACAATAATAACCTTTAAAGCAGCTCTATTGTCTTCAGGGATTGTTGCTTATTTTTTGCAAAGACTCCTGATGGTAACTTTGCTGTTTGCAGTGGCTTGGGGGCAAAGGGGTAAGGTAAGTTTTACATAGTAAAGAGACTTGCGTTCATCAAGTTCAGCCTTTCAACAGCAGTGAAATTCCAACACAGTAAATGTGAGTATGTCATAAAGATTACCAGGGTTGTAACCAGATCAAAACTAAAATCTTAGTTAAGGGGACACTGGTCTCCAGAACAAGCTTATTGTATTTGTTCTGGTGAGTATAAACATTCCCTTCAGGCTTTTTGCAGTAAACTTTCTTTTCAGAGAAAATGCAGTGTTTACATTACCGCGTAGGGATACCTCCAATGGCCACTCCTCAGATGGCTGCTGGGGGTGCTTCTTGGGACAGTGCTGCACACTGTGCAGAACTGCCATTCGATGTCTCCATGCAGACACTGAACTTTCCTCATAGAGATGCATTGAGGAATCTATGAGGAAAAGCTGATTAGCCAGGGCTGTGCCCCAGATCTGCCCCCTTAACAGTCTCAGCCAATCCAATGCTTTCCTATGGTAAAACATTGTGATTGGCTATGATAAACGGATGATGTCAGCCAAGCAGGCAGATCATTGGCAGAGTCAGCAGCAGCAGACTTGAATACAAGTAAGATTTTACTATACTTAGAGGGGCAATGTGGATCTGGGGGAGTTAGATGGTGGTTTTAAAACTATATGGTTTTAACATGTTTGTGTTCCTGACCCTATAGTGTTCCTTTAAGTAGAATATTTAATTCAGATCAATTGTTTGTGTATAATGTGTAAGATTTTAAATCAGTTTTCAGCACATCACAACTCACTGTTTAGCAAATAGATTCTTTTGTTTGGGATATGCAAAATATTCATGGATATTGTGGGTTTATCACATTCCAATTCTAACGTTTTTCTAGACAGTATAGATTCCTAAGGTTATGGCTAAATGCTGCTGACTCATATGTCAAGTTTGCAGCATCTGGCTGAGTAATACAAACTTTCTCATGTTACAGTCTAAAGGCTGCGTAACAATGATTATTATCAGTATATGGAATGTCGATGTGTATTGGAAACTTTCTCACTATAAGAATCATTGTATACAGGGATATTGTAATCAATGGGACATTTAATCAATTACCCAAAAATAACCACAAAATATTAGTTTTGTATATTTTTAGCACATTTCTCACATTTAATATTTGTAAGAGGGAAAGTTCCTGTATTTGAGACATTTCCTATTGCGTTGTGATAAAAGGAGATAAGACTTTTATTATTTTATCTTTTACAAAATATTAGAAGTAGAATTAAAGGAAATATACAAACACCATAAACACTACAGCTCACTGAAAGAGAGATCATGAGGGCTAACAAAAGTTCCTGCTCAGGAACTTCCAGCTCCCCGGTGTTGGTATTGGAGATGGAGAGAGGCACATGGCACAGTGGATGTCAGGTAAAAACTCAAACTGTCAAGCCTCCCAGCATACCCGATTTTGGTGGAACAGTCCAAATTTTTACACTGTCCAGATTTTGTTCCCTTGACATTATTAGACATGGTCGCACTACGAGCACCATGCAGGGAGCATTCGAAACAGAGTGCCCTGCATGGTCTGGCCTCTGTGGACTGGCTTGGGTGATTGACGGGCAGCCTGGCTTTCATTCACACTAGGCTTATTTACCAATCCCTTGAGCAGACCCAACCCCTGTTGGTTGGTTGGTACCAATTATACAATTACATCATTGGCCCGCTCCATTTCCCCCCAACTCACTGGGCAACTATGTCGGGAGCATTGTACTGTTCAAAAACTGTTTGATGTCTTACAAACAGGGGGTGCCAGGGCACTCCTGGTACCATAAGCACTATACTGAGCTGTAGTGTTAATGGTGCTTAGAATGTCCCTTCAAACACACAGCTCTGTACAATGTCATATATTTTGGGAATTGACATTGAAGTGGACCTGTAATCCAAAAATGTATAAACAAAAAGGTGGCCTCCTGCAGGTAACTATTATAACATTACCTGTGTGCTAGGGAAATCACTATTCGATACATAGACAACAAGGTCAACAAGTTGTTGTAATGTGAAAAATGACAAATTGCAATATGTGAGTTAAGAGATAAAAAAAATCTAGTTTGCCTGAGATCAAGAGATTTTTCTATTGACCTACTTTTGCCAACTCCTAACTTAATGAATATCTGTATGCACCACCCTCTGAACGCAACATGCTAACCAGGACAGTCTTTAGATTCTATGTGCTGGGGATGTTGTGGATGCTGAGGGTTGCAAAGGCTCAAATAATGACAGGGAACCTTAAGGGCAGTGCTGTATCTTCAACAAGGCTAACAAGGCATGTGCCTTGGGCAGCACTTTCAGGGATGTGGCAAAAACCGGGTGTCAGGGTTATGGGCACCCAGGGCTCATTGATGCACGTGGGGAGCAAATGCTAGCCCATCTGATTTGATCACACAGAAGAGCTACTGTAGTTCAAATTGCTGAACAACTCAATGCTGGCTATGATAGAAAGATGTCATAACACCAGGGCCGTCTTTAAGGAGGGGCAAAAGGGGCAGCTGCCCCGGGCCCAGTTACTCCTGGGGGCCAAAGGCAGCTGCCCCATGGGCTCCCTGCAGCACCTGAGGTAATCAGGGGCCACAGCCCTTTAATACTGCTCTGGACCAGGCCCTTGTAATATGGGGGTTGGCTGAATACAAACACACAGCTAGCCCCTCACACACTGCCCTGTGATCCCTTTTCTTCTCTGTGGCATGCTGGGAGGCAGTGAGGTCAGATCACTTCCTCCTCAGTGCCGCTGGGGAGGAGGCACACACCACACGGAGGAGGATGCAAGCATTGTTGGGGAGAGGGACTGAGAAAGCTGATGGCAGACTCCCATCAGCCTGGGCCAACAAGCTCCCACTGGACCCCAGGGAAGCCACCTTTCTGTACCCAAAAGGTAAGGAGACAGGAGGGTGGCTAAATATGTTTTGTTTTTTTGTTTTGCTTATTTCTGATATCACTTTTATTCAAGTGTTGGTGTTTGTAATGTAACACACAGGGAATAAGTACATGTTAAAAATCCTAGAAGAACCTGACAGTTCCCTATTAAATATAAATTTTAAAAGTATTTATTTTAACATATTATTGCATCAAGTGTTATCAAAGGCTGTATACCATTTCCAAATGTCACTTTTGCCAAATTCTGGACCAGGGTATGTAAGAACAGAGTTGAGACATTATTATACGCCATAGCCGGACGCCGGATACCCGGTTTTTCGAATTTAGGATGATTGTGGATGTTGCCTTATATATATCTGGAAGTATCATCACATCTATATCCCTGAGGAAGTCCCCTTTTGTTGGACGAAACGCGTTGGATAAGAACTTTAAGTTTTATAGATGCTGCTATATTATTTTATATTTTGTATGTAGTTTTTATTTTTATTTTATTTTAATTGTATTCTGTCTGCTATTGGATCTTCCATTGGACTCTCTTCCATATTGTTCCTGGGAGTTCCATGTTATATGGAGATATGCCTGCTATTTCTCTTTACTTGTAAGTGAAACCAATAAATATTATTTTGTAATTTAATTACATACTTCACCATATTTGTTTTTTTACTCTTTTATATATCCCACGGAGGATCGTCTTTTCATAAGATTGCTACCCTTGGGAGGGTGAGAAACCTGATTTCAATTTTGTTTGTGAGTGCACCTATTTCCACTAATATATCACTCACCTATTTAGTACTGTACTATGCTATGTCAGTCTTTTAATCTTTTATACAGATTCCATTTATGAACCACGACCTATATTTCAGGTTATCTGTACTTGTTTTTATATTATCACGTATTTGGGAGGTGTTTTCCACTTGGTTTTTCAATTATATGTGTGTTAGGTGTTAGTGAGGTACACCTGGGAGCTCTCCCTAATATGATTTTCACATAATTTTGTATAGTGTGTATACTCTACTGCTTTGTTTGGAGACATTATTATGGCCAAGGTTGCTGGGAGTTGCTGTCCAAGAGCTGCTAGAAAGCAGAGATTAAAATATGTAAATATACACATATATGTGTGTGTGTATCTGGCTGTGTTTATGTCCTTGTGTGTATCTGGCTGTGTTTGTGTCAGTGTTTGTATCTGGCTGTGTGTGTCAGTGTTTCTGTGTGTATGTATACCTGTGTATGTGTACTTGTGTGTCAGTGTGTATGTGTACCTGTGTGTGTGTTTGTGTATGTGTGTATGTATGTATGTATGTATGTGTCAGTGTGTGTAAGTGTGCATCTGAGTGTGTGGTAATACATACATCCCAGCATTTTAATGCCAACACAAATACACTCCATCTCTAGCACTGTACACATATACACCCCTGCATTTATACCTTTATGTATGTGTGTATCTGAGTGAGTGTGTGTGTACATACCTGTGTCAGTGTGTGTGTGTACCTCTGTGTGTGGATGTGCCAGTGTGTGTGTGTATCAAAGTGCTTGTATCTGTGTGTCAAAGGGTGTGTATCTGAGTGTGTGTGTGTATGTGCCAGTATGTGTCAAGGTGTGAGCATGTGTCAGTGTGCCTATGTGTGTATCTGCGTGTTAATGTGTATGTGTATATGTGTTATAGAAATCACACAACATGCAAACAGAGCCCTGCAAACACAAACATTACATACAAACACACCAGTTTGCTGAAACACCAATACTACACACAAATGTACACAGCACTACATCCAAACAACCCCCTGCATGCAAATACAAACATTACATACAAACACATTCCTGTATTAAAACGCTAAAATTATATACAAACACCAACTCTACACACAAAAGTACACCTGCATTTAAAAGCCAACACTACAGACAATCACACATTACTGCATTCTAACGCAAACACTACACACAAGTACACCACTGCATTCCAATGGTAACAGTACATACAAATACACCCCTACATGCACACATACACTCTATACAATAACATGCTGACATTCAATTGCACAAACACTGCTCAAAAATACAACCCTGCAAGGATGGTAGATCCCCACCTGGCATAGCATCGCAGGAGTTGTATGACAGATGGGGATCTATCTTTTCTTTACTCTTGTGCTACAGGGCAGGCCTGAATTATTATTTTTTTGCACCAAGGCACTCTCTACATTAGTTTCGCCTCTAGGTTGGGGTGGAGGGAGTGATTGCATGCCCAGGGGGCCCAAGCAGATGCTTGCCCAAGGTCCAATCAATATTAAAGACGGCCCTGACAACATGCAAACACATCCCTGATAACACAAACATTACAGACAAACACACCCCTGATTTCAAACTCAAAATTATATATAAAACACACCCTTTACCCAAACACCAATACTATACACAAATGTTTAGAAGACAACACTACATTCTATAACAACCCTGAAGGCAAATATTACATACAAACAAAACCCAGTATTAAAATGCCAAAATGATATGCATACACCAACTCACAGTTGCACACCTGCATTTAAAAGTCAAGCA